AAAATCTCTAGTTGGAGGTTTGGATCTTCTTTGTGCATTGAACCATGGCATGAAGGTGAGGGTTTCCATCTTCATGGAGCTCCCTTGCAACAAGTATGTAGTATGGCTGACATGTTAGTTGGAGAAAGGATTGAAGGAGTTCTAAGAGTTGTTCTTTTAGGCAAGGGCATTGTGGGTAGGTGAGAAAAATATTCTTAGTACAGAAACAGAAAGAGGCTTAGCGAGGCATATTGTAGTTGTAAATAGTAAATTCACACCAGCCGTACAAAGGCACCTTATTAGTTAAAAAACCTGGTATGAATGGTGTGAGTTGGTGTGACTGCGGGGGTGCTAAATTAATATTACCAGCACCCCCTTCCCCCGGCACTAATCTAGGCCGTTCATTCATGTACTTGTGGACACGTTTATGGATAGGGTTAAAAAGAAGTCACACCCGGGCCCAGGTGTGACTTATGTGAGTGCTTTTGATTCCTTTTTCGGATAGTGCTATACACGTGTCACGTTTGTAGTGGTTTGCATGGTTGTAAAGTAAAGATATTTTCATAATGATTGACATAAAGCAAAGGCGGGAAAATGATTATACTTTTGAATTATTTTGAATGGGGAATCTTCGTCCTTACCCACGGGCCACTTTTGCTATTTATTTGGTACCAGAAAACATTTGATGGTAGAGAGGAATATGCTTTTGCAGTGGGATAGCTATTGTGGTGACATTGTTTTCTAGTACATTGTTTCATCCCTTCTATTTTGTCTTTTTTTTTTTTTGTTGATTGTATTGGCATACAATGTTGTACTCCTTAGAAGAGTATACCGACAATTGCAAGCAATTCACTGAAATGTGTGTAGATCATTTTTTGACGTGGCAAATAGGATTGTAGGAAGAGAGACGACGGTCAGCTCCGACGAAGTTTGTTTTGGTGTACGAGGAAGAGAGGGCGTTAATATCAAAGTTAAGGTGTCTGAATAAAAGGGTTAGCAGAGGTAAAAGAATCTGCAGAATTTGTAGGATAAAAGATTTGGAGTGTTTTATCAAAAATGGAAGGAGTAGTAAGCAGCCACTATCGAACTCTCCTTGCGTATCGGAGATCAAGCACATCGGCGGCCAATGGATATAAGCAGAGTTACCGTGGTCATACAACTTTTAAGGTGGCGTACATTCGCGTATGTTCAGAATATTCCCCGATATATTAAGAAAACTAAGAGAGGAGTAAGGAAGTTGCAACTGTACAATGAACAATTAAGGGACGTTAAATTTGATAATAAAGGTGTGGCGAGATTGCTGAATGGTATTGAGTTGGGTAATAAAAGATGTGACCTTCAATCAGAAAAGATCGTGGTTAAGAGTATAAAATTAATTGGGAATGTTCAATTGGGATAAGAGGCTAAAGAGGAAGATGTGGTCCACTGTGTATTGTTTTTCGTTATAAGTGATAATAGTCCATCAGATTTTGTTCCCACACCTAACAAGATATTTATTAGAGTTGGTGAGGGTAATCCTGAGACCTGGATTGTTGATCCTAACCAGTTTGACAGATTTCGGATGCTAAAGAAAATGTGATTCAAGCTCATTGGTGGCAAGAACAAAGAGTACGTTCGTCATGGAATAGAAGTTGTGGACCAGTTCTTCCTACTTGATGTTTGGACGGACTATAAAGATACGCTATTGGAAAATGTTGAAAGTACTCAGAAGGGCGCCATATATTTAGTAGCTACTACTGTTAGTGAAAAAGAATACAAAATTACATTAAGGAGTCAAATGTAATTTAAAACTGTTTAGCATTATAAATTTATGTATTTTTATTTGTAATGTTCAGGTGAATGGAGGTGGACGATATAAAAACTGGTGTTATTGAAAGTGTTTTAGCAAATGATTTCAGTTGTATTGCACTTGCGTTGCCTAATTTATTTTTTCAATTGAGGTTGAGATACAAATAAAAGAGTATTAAGATTGATAAAATATTCCCCCTTTGTGCACCCAATGTCAGTGGGTTGGTTAGAGTAAATGTGTATGATAGGAAGTTAGATGGTAATGACAGTTTGCAGGCTTACTTTATTTTTCCCGTAGACTGTCAGTACGAATCAGTTAATTATGGGAATGGTTATTGTTCCATTAACAACAAACAGGTGCCATGGATGGTGAAGTATCGACTTGAAAATTCGAACATTAAAAGAGATATTACTTATTGTAAAATGAAGGGGTATTTGAAGTATTCTACGAGTGAAATGGCAAAAGATTCACAGATGAGAGCCCTATTTATTGTTGTGTTATCTAAGAAATATACTAATGATAATGTTGATATTTGGCATTGTGCTCCAACCAAGGCTATTTCGATTCTTACACGGACTATGCCTGTGGGTTTATCGAAAAGGCAAAGAGATTTGTTGTTAGGAGTTTTGGGGCAAGTGGTTCAGTTATTCATAAACGCAGAGGTCATCTGAGTTTGTCTGAGATTGATGTACGCAAATGTGGTGATGGTACTAGTGATGTTGATCCTAGTCCGTCGATTTCGAAGGTTAGTGCTAGAAAAAGGAAATTGATTGGAGAGAATCAGTTGTTATGGACCCTGTAGAATTTTCTGATGTTTTACAAAATGTAATGAGTGTCAAAAATTGTGATGACTTTAAAGATGTATAGTTGACGATAAGAGAAATGTAGTAAGTAAATAAAAAGTTTAAATGGTTCCATAAATAAAATTAATAAAATTTTTCATTAATCATAACAATGGTTATATTTACATCAAATCATTCTCTCATTTTTGGGGACATTGCATCTAACCAACTATTGTCTCCATTAGTTAATAGAATATAAGGAATTCCTCATCTAATGGTGAGATCTGGTAGGAATTTAACAAATACATGGAAGTCTCTCTGGCAGTTTGCTAAATTCTTCATTAGTTCGGTAGGGACTGTCGAGTATTTGATGTCGTTTATGACGGTGTAGACGGTGTCTTGATCGTAGTCCTTGAAACTTATTCTGCCGGAGAAATAGTTGTTTCGTCCGAGACTTCTGGCCCAAGCGATTTTTCCTGTTCTTAAATGTCCTTCGAGATAGAAGGATATTGGGCGGATGGGTCACTGTTCAGGATCCTGTTATCAGAGGAGGATGAGGAGGCGAGTTCTTCTTTAGTATATAAACCGGGTATATTATTTCTATGTTCCCTAATCTAATGTTGTCGTCTTCACTGTAAATAGAGAAACAACAATTTTGACATAGTTCGTATTTTACAAAATTATGGCTTACAAACAAAATATTATTTTCTGCCCATTTTTCTACTTCTTCATTTAAAAAAAGAAATGAATTTAAGGGGTTAGTATATAGGGGCTACTCTCGTTTGTAATGATCCCTCGAAAATGTTTTTAATTGGGGGTATTTTGTGATGTAGTCAGTGTGACATCTTTCTTTGCAGTATATAAATCGTGCATATTATTCCTGTGTATCCCTAATCTAAGGTTGTCGTCTTCACTATAAATAGAGAAATAACATTTTTGAGATGGTTCGTATTTTACAAAATAACGACTTACAAACAAAAAATTATTTCTACCCATTTTTTTACTTCTTCATTTAAAAAAGGAAATGAATTAAAGAGGCTCGTATATGGGGGCCGCTCTCGTTTGTAATGATCCCTCGAAAATGTTCTTAGTTAGGGGTATTTTGTGACGTAATCGGTGGGACATCTTTTTTTGCAGAGTGCAAAGAATTGTTTCTTCGTTTGTGCTTCTGCAAGTATTCCTTGCCAGAGTTCGTCTCTATTTTTCGAAGGACTTTTCCCCTTGGATGAAAATTCTCCCAATTTTATAAAATCACCGCATTTTTGTATATTCTGTGGACTTACTGTTGGACAATAGAGTTTTTCTATATTTGGATGATAGATCCTCCCGTTAGGTCCAATGAGATTGAAAAATCTCTGGTTGGAGGTTTTGATCTTCTTTGTGTATTGAACAATGGCATGAAGGTGAGGGTTTTCATCTTCGTAGAGCTCCCTTGCGACAAGTATGTAATATGACTGATAGGCTAGTTAGAGAAGGGATTGGAGAAGTTTTAAGAGTTATTCTTTTGGGCAAGGGCGTTGTGGGTAGGTGAGGAAAATATTTTTGGCATAGAAACGGAAAGAGACTTGGCGAGGCATTTTGTAGCTGTAAACATTAAACTCACACCAGCCGTACAAGGACTCCCTATTAGTTAAAAAACCTGCTGTGAATGGTGTGAGGGTGCTAATTAATATTACCAGCGCCGCCCCCCCTCCCGACTGATCTGGGTCGTCCATTTATGTACTTGTAGACATGTGTATGGATGAGGTTAAAACGAAGTCACACCCTGATCCAGATGTAAGTAGTGTGGGTACTTTTGATTTCTTTGCCGGATAGTGCTACACACGTCATGTTTGTGGTCTTTTGCGTAGTTGTAAAGATATTTTTAGAATGATTGACATAAAGCAAATGCGCAAAAATGATTATACTTTTGAATTATTTTGAATGAGAAATCTTCATCCTTCCCTACGAACCACTTTTGCTATTTATTTGGTACCAGAAAACATTTGATGGGAGAGAGGAATATGCTTTTACAGTGGGATAGCTATTGTGGTGACGTTATTTTTTGGTACATTGTTTCGTCCCTCATTTTCTGTCTTTTTTTTTAATTGATTGTATTGGTATATAATGTTGTACTCCTTAGAAGAGTATACCGACAATTGCGGGCAGTTCACTCAAATGTGTGTAGATCGTTTTTTGACGTGGCAGATAAGACTGTAGGAAGAGTGCTGGCAATCAACTCCGGCGAAGTTTGTTCTGATGTACGAGGAAGAGAGGGCGTTAATATCAAAGCTAAGGTATTTAAACAGAAGGGTTAGCAGAGATAAGAGAATCTGCAGAATTTGTAAGATAAAAGATTTGAAGTGTTTTATCAAAAACGAAAGGAGTAGTAAGTAGCCACTATCAGATGCATAGCATATAGAACTTTCTTGTCCAATTTCCATCCTTGGTCATTCAAAGTCACTCCCACATATATCAAATTGAGCTGTCCACCCTTGTCTATTCCATAAATGCATCTTCTTATGAAAATATTAATATTTGAATAATGACATACCAATAATGGCATGACTTGGTGTTATACTTTCTGAAAGAGTGGTTCAGATCACTAAATGAACATTTTCATTTGCTACAAGATTATATGGAAATACATTTCTTACTGGGTATTCAAAAGAGTTACGAGATGCAATGAAGACAGACAATAGCAAGCAACAAGCTTGCTTGAAAAACAAGAGTGTGTTGAGATGGAGCACTCATGCATGCTTGAAGAATTTCATGCTTAGCCAATGAAAATATACAGCAACGACAATGATAGGAAGTGTCAAGGGCACCAGAAAACAGTAATATCTGTAACCAAAGAAGAAACCAAGTCAGAAGGGAAAGGGAAAAAAAAAAAGAAAAAAGATTAGATCTTCAACTCTATTTATTGAAAGCTAAAATGTCAAATACAAGGCGTTAATTGAGCTGTCCACTCTTGGCTATTCCATAAATGCATCTTCTGATGAAAATATTAATATTTGAATAATGACATACCAATAATGGCATGACTTGGTGTCATACTTTCTGAAAGTGGTTCAGATCACTAAATGAACATTTTCATTTGCTACAAGATTATATGGAAATACATTTCTTACTTGGTATTCAAAAGAGTTATGAGACGCAATAAAGACAGACAATAGCAAGCAACAAGCTTGCTTGAAAAAACAAGAGTGTGTTGAGATGGAGCACTCATGCATGCTTGAAGAATTTCATGCTTAGCCAATGAAAATATACAGCAACGACGATGATAGGAAGCGTCAAGGGCACCAGAAAACAGTAATATCTGTAACCAAAGAAGAAACCAAGTCAGAAGGGAAAGGAAAAAAAAAAGAAAAAGATTAGATCTTCAACTCTATTTATTGAAAGCTAAAATGTCAAATACAAGGCGTTAATTTTATGGTAGAAAAATCTGAAGAGAGAATTAAAAGCTTGAAATAGAAAATTAGGTCAATTTGAATTACATGTTGCAGGGTTGGAAACAGAAGTCTTGCACTCCAAAAAGATCAGGAATTGAAATGTTGATCAACATCTCCAGCTATCATATATATGCATATTTAGTTAAAGCACATAGAACAAAAGTAGGTTGAGCCAAGAAGAGAGGTGCTTCTAACATATTTTCCGATTGACAGATAACAACAAAATTGAAGATTTTTTTTTTTTTAAATTTTTAATTTTTTATTTACAAAACAACCATAAGGTGAACAATACTTTATGGGACATATGTTGAGCGATTAAGATACAATACATTAAAATGAGTTGCTAAAATGTGCAGTAACAAAAATGAAATGAAACATTTGTTGAAAAGAACATACTAAGATGGCTTAGTATACAACGAAAATGGGTAAATGCAAGTTAAGGGAGTGATGATCACCACTATTAATGAAAATGTTAGAGGGAGGAGGGAGGGGGGAAAAAGTCTAAATTGGAATATTTGCATAACCAATGTGTAGGAAGGGTCCCTGAAAGATACTATTTCTTTTTTTTTATTATTAACCAAAGATGAGGCCCCACCGTATTTGTTCCTGCCCAAGTTTTTAAATTGTTGCTATAGGCTTTCAAAGATTGTATGTTTTCATGTGAAGTTCCTCACAAGAGAATTCATTGTGATAGACAACCCAAAAACTGCTAACTTGGTTTGTCAAGGTTTCAACAAAATGTCCAAGTGTTTGGATTCTCCTATATAAATTTTCCAACATTTTGGGAATTGTTTTTATGAAATTTCTAGTCTGTGAATTGGTGTTGACTTCATTGAAGACTGACATTGTGTCCAATTCAAATCCTAAATCCTAAATCCTAAATCCTAATTAGGGTTCCTCAAACAAGAATAATAGGCTATAGGATAGCTAACATTTGTATGCAACAACTACAATAATCAAAAGCAGAATGAGATATAGGTCAATGCTAGTTGATTATAGTAACTGCTCATAATTAGCAATTTTAACAAATTCAAGCAAAATCAAGAGATACAGTGAAGTCCAAGTGAATGATATTCACAGAAAACCAACTTGGGTAGATTCACTTTGTTTCTAAGAAATAATAGACAACAAAGTGGCAAAACATAGATTAGTGGCACAACATAATAAATGCATACTTGGACAATGCAGTCGGTGGTCTTCCCAACCCAAGCTGCCACATGGCTTGTCATAAGCAATGAGCCAAAAACAACTTGCCATGCTACTTTCTTGATACTACCATATAAATTTAAGATCAAACCAACCAAGCAGTACATCAACATTTGCAATATATATTTTTCAACTTCCACAATAATGAAGAAGATAAAGCAGTCGGATAAAAAATTGTGCAGCATCATGAAGAAGCTTTTATAGACAAAATCGTGAGGTTGTTTGTTTTTTATTTTTTTTGTACAGTGCATATTACTGCTTATCAATGGCACCTTACAGTGTTTTCCTAGTCTTTAACATACAGTAGATGAATCACAAAAGTGCCATTAAGTTTGCAAGGACTAACAAGTGAGTCACTTAGAAACAATACTGTGGTATACCATCAGAAATAACTGGAAAATGTTGCTATGTAATATGACAAGGAACAACCCACTTCCTTTCAGTTATAGCACATAAGATTATATTTGTTGAAGCAATGGAACATTACCTATCATTTGTAATGGCTATTGCAATGTGATTTTCAGATACTGGAAGAAATCTGGATACAATTGCAGCACTGAGAAAGCCCAAAAAGGAAATGGAGCCTAGCATAATAAAACACCATCCCTGGGCTCTGGAACCATATGACTGCAAGGTAGTTGAAACTTCCATTGCATAGTTTGATCTAGAAAACACAGGCCCTCTCAAACAACTTCCAACTATTGGCCTTCAATTTAGCTTTAACCACCCAATTAGAAAGCCAGAGCCATGATGAAGCACCTATGGAAATTGAACTTTTGGAATGCCTACAAGGGATGAAAACGTTATTGATGCGACAAAAGCAGGATTTTGACATGCAGTACAATAAACTCAACAGAGTAGGCAATAATAAAACCTACTTAAAATCAGTTTATTGCAAGCATAACATACATAAATCTTGTCCTCTTTCAAGCTTAGGTTCTAAATAATAGTAGCCGCAGCCATGACAGTACCGGTGATGCACTTGTGGGGTGTAACAGCTGTAGTGTAATGGTGGCATGGCAGCAACCAGAGCTATGAAATTTTTCTTCACACAATCTCAGGAAAACTTACCGATACACTCGATTTTATTTCACAATCACATTTCGTAGGTTTTTAAATTATTTTGTTTAGTTTTTAAACAATGTAATATATGCACTAATTTTTACATGAGTTTTAAGTAGCCACTGCGACTTTTCTTTTTATTAGATGTATTTAACATCATTTATTTTATTGATTGTACGTATGGATAATATTTCTACTGTTATGGAAATCAAAAATGAAGCATATATGATATTAAAAGCCATAGGATCATAAACATATATCTATGGTGTTATAGCCCAACATACTAATAAAGAAGTACGTACACGATATACAAGCATTGGTTAGCAAATTTAACCTAAAACCAAATAAGTAATCACGAGGGAAAAAAATAGAAGCACTTTTTTGAGAGAGAGAGAAAAAAAAAACAGAGAAAAAAAAAAAAAAAAAACGATCTAAAAAACCCCAACAACTCACCTTCCTTGATCTTGTCCAGAGCAGCAAGAAGAGCTTTCCTCTTAGTCCTAGCCATCCACTATTACAAAGAGAAGAGACGAGAGCAATAAATTTTAAAAAAAAAAAATTTGCAAAACGCATAAATGTCAGAGTGTATATATATATAATTTAATTTTATTTTTTTATTTTATTTTATTTTTTACAACATTGGTATTTAATTTTTGGGAAAATTAAAAAAAAAAAAAGAAAAAAGAAAAAGAAGAGAGAATTTGATTCTTGTAACAAAATAAACCCTGTTTTTTTATTTTGTCAATTTAAACCTTAATATTTTGATTTGTTTTCAATTTAAACCATCATCCTATTTCGTTAAGTAAAACCGCTAGAAAAGTGATATTTTAGTCATTAAACTTAATGTAAATATACATAAAATGTCTAATATTCCCTTTTCGTTAAGTGTAATGACTAAAATACTATCTTTTTTGTTGATTTTGCTTAATGAAAATAGGCAAATAGTTGGAATGAAAACAAATCAAAATATTCAGGTCTAAATTGATAAAATAAAAAATTCAGAGTTTATTTTGTTATAAGGCCAAACCTTGGTGTTTTTTTTTTTCCCCCGTAATTTTTTTTTTACAAAACAACATTTGTATTAATTTTTGAATGACTTTGGCAATCGGAAAAAATAAAATAAAATAAAAAAAAAAAGAAGAGAAAAATAGTCAATTTGAGGCATAACGGTGTTGTAACAGCCTTTTATGAATGTTATAAACAATAGCGCCATTACAACTATGATTTTCAATCACACCACTATATTTGTTATAAGGATGGTGGTATGATTTTGAATAACGGGATTGGATATGTATCAATATCGAAGATATGGATTATATATTGATCAATATAGGACATTATCAGACGATATATCTATGAATAATGGTATCGGAATGCAAAATCCCGCTATGTCACGGCCGACATTTAAAACCCATACGGTTATGTAATGACATTACGTAACGGTTGAAACCTATTTTAAAACTATGGGCGTACTTAATTTAGACACTTGGATCTTCAAATTTTATATGACGTTCAAAAATCAAGAAGCTCGCATTGTTAGTAAAGAAAATCTTATTGCCTTTCACATGGATGGGAGACAAAAATTTCATATTTTTTCTAAATTCTATTTAATTTTAAGAACATTTCTAATTAATTTACATTATTTTATCTAAGAATATTATACCAAATATAATACATATAAGTGTTCAGGACATATCTGTGTACCCATACTGAATTTATGTTTCGGAGGATCTAATGCTTAGACCTGCACCCAATACACGCACCCAATTCCATGTAACATAGGTCCTTTCCAAGTTCAAATGAGTAAATGACAATGAGGGAAGTCTGCAGAATTTGTAAGATAAAAGTGAAATGAGAGATATATTGATTTTTTTTTTTGGGGCTGTAGATGGGTGTTATAAAATTTAGGTGGTTGTGTTGGAAGGCAATTGATCACAAAACCTCCAAGCTTTAATTACAAGGGCACAATTTTTTAGGTATGTTTGTTATTTTAATACATAATTTAGCATATTGTACCCAGTATTATAGTGAAAATCCTTTTGCAACCAATCAACTCTTTTAGCATTCTATGATATTATTTTATGAAGTTGTGAACATGAGTTGTTTACCCTTTAAACCCGTCAAGATAATACGAAACTGAGGGTGTTGAGAGATCAAAGTGAATTGAAGACAAGTAATTGAAAAAATAATGCATTAGTGAAGGTAGATAGGCCATAATTCTGGGACAAGACGGCAAAAAGCCATTTAAGATGGTTGATTTTGATCTAGTGCAATGAAATACCAGTGGTGAGTGACTTGAATGTAGGTCATAACTTCATAAGCACAACAACAAGACGAAAAAGGTCAAATAAACAAAGGTTGAGGTAGTGAGAAATACATCATTGTGTTTGGCAGAGGATATGCCCTTTAAGGCTAAAGGGTAAATATTTATTTGTCCAGCAATGTAAAGTAGTTGGCATGTAAAACCTTGTTAGTTAAAATGTCACTGTTTTTTTGCTATGGTTTCAATATGCTTTGATGTCAAAAAATTTACTCATCCTAGTGGAAAAACTAGCGAACAGTTTCATATCCTTTTACTAATTTCTGTTACTAAGCTTACTTGTATGTTTCACTTTTCAATATTTTCTTCAGCAAAGGAAGAATTAGTATTATTCCGATATGGTTCGCTCTCTTTAGAAGATTGTCAAACTATTTTTTTCTAGATCATTCATTGGTTTTGTCCTGTTCTAAATTCTAAGGTCTTCAAACACATACCAGACCGCAATGATGCCACATGTTTCTTTAGAGTTTTCAATGTGGTTGGCCATAATTTCAAAAGGTGATTACACTTGTCTAGTTCATCTCATATAAATTTATTTGTGTTTCTAACAGTTCTGAAAGTCGGCTTCAGCTTAATTTTTTTCATATTCAAGTGACATCTAGCAAACAAAAACCAAATGAAGATAGTGTCTTCGTAGACATTATAAAATTAAAATCACAGAGTTGTAGTTGAAAAAATTACCAGGCATGCCTTTTACTCTAGTTATAAAATTGAAAACAAACCAAGAACTCTTACCAAGCACAATCCGTTTCTCAACCATTTGGACCAAAATTTATTTAGAAGGCTGATTCTATTTTTTTGAAGATGTATATTTCTAAAGTTTTAAACATTCCCTAAAATGAGCCAACAAGTTTTAACATATATTCTCCCACAGTATCATTATAAGACTATCTCCAACCCAAACTCAAATCTTTTATCAAATTTAAATTTGATGAAAATTTGGTGAAAACGGTGTTTCAACTATTTCACCAAATTAGTATCAAATGAAGGTAGCCCTACTTTTTTTCATCAAATCAAGATAGCGTTTAACCCTTCATCAAATCTCATAGGTGACCGTTGGTGGACGACTGGATGGATGATTGGTCAGTGAACCGGGTGGATGACCAGCCGGACAACCGGTTGGACAACCAGATTGGGGAATATTTGAAGAAAATTTACACTAGGCTGGTCAACCGTCCGGACGTCCTCCCAGTCGTCCTTTTAGTCAACCGGTTGCTTGATGAAAATTGAAAATTTAGCGGTGGAACGCTTGGTATCAAATGAAGCTTTTAACCCAAATCTTTATTCAAATTTGATGAAAAAAAAAGAGTAAGCATTTGAGATGCTCTAATAGAACTGATTTTTTACCCACTTGAAATGCAACCTTTCCAGATTCCTAACCAAGTCCAATTTCTATATCAAGAACATGCCATCATGCCTTGATGATCAATTTTCAAAGTTAGACCAGATAATCAGATCAGATGTGCACCTAATTTATCAGCCAAAATCATACGAACAAAAGAGCTTAAACAAGTGCGTTGAACATGGGGATTTTCCATGGTTGTGACTTGGTACTACAACACAGTATATAGTAAACTACCTTTCAACATCTCAAATGCAGATTCATATGTATAGTTCATACAAAGCAAAGAAGCATATGAATATGGAGGAATAAAGTTTCATTTGGGCATTTTAACAAACACCCAAATCGAATTTTGATGGTCTTCTTCATTACAATTCTTCATATTTAGCAGTTTGAATTTGAATTGGGTTTGTGGGATTGGAAAATTATACCTGCGGTTAGCTAGTTTGGGTCCGTGAAGAACAATGGTGGAGTCAGCTGAGTAGTCCTCCAAGATCGCTGGTGCGTAAGCCACAACAGTTGTCTTCTTCGATTCTTCGCTTAAGTAACTAGCCTACACTACACTAGACTAGAAGAGAATCACATATTGATATTAGATCAGCAGCTCATGGATTAATGATCCAACTTGGGCCTGGGCTGGATCGCTCATTTTTTTTTTTTTTAATTTAATTTTTATTAATTAATTATAAATATAAAAAAAATTAGAGTTTGAGTTGTCACAGAATAAAATTTTAATTTTATCAATTGAAATTATATTTTTTGATTTATTTTTAATTTCAAATATTTGCCTATTTCCATTAACTAAATTGATGAAAAAACGACATTTTAATCATTATATTCAATTTAGGTATACAGAAAATGTTTAAAATATATTTTTTGTTCAGTTTAATGACTGAAATAACTTTCTTTTTTGTTAGTTTTACTTAATTAAAATAGACAAATAATTTAGATTAAAAATAAATCAAAAGATTAAAATTTAAACTACAAAGTTAAAAATTCAAGATTTATTTTGTTGTAAGGTTACAACCCTTGTTTGTTTCTTTGTTTGTTTGTTGTTGTTGTGTGTGTTCTTTTTTTTTTTCATTATTATTATTATTTATTTTACAATCATTAGAGCCTATTCTAAACTTACATCAAAAGGAGAAGGAGAAAGGGAAAATGGATAATTGTTAAAAAAAATAAAATAAAAAAGGAAAAAGGTTGAGACTCCATTTTTTCTTAACCCCCGCCACCCCCAATCGATAAAATTTTGGCTAAGTAGTTTGTTGTCCAATACATTCCTACTGTTGATCAACTAGCTGATTTGTTTACCAAGCCCTTGTCTGTTTCAAGATTTCAGTACCTCAAGGACAAGCTAATGGTCTTTGAGCAGCCCATCAGCTTGTAGGGGACTGTTGAGACTACTAAGCCAACTGTCAACTAAGCCAATACAGCCACAGTTGCAGAAGCACACCCTTTCAGCTCAATTCACACTTCAACCACAAGCCACGCCACCTTTCAGCCACAGTTATCAAAACAGTTATGCAGTCCACATGTGGCAGTTGTAACTAGCTTGTAATATGCAAATTCTGGTGCATTCCCTCATTGTTTAACCACAACTACAACTCTGTTTTTCGATTCTGAACCACCTTCCTACAAGGAAGCCTTACTTTCACCCATCTGGCATAAGGCTATGCTTGACGAGTTTACTGCCTTGCAAAAACAAAACACTTGGTCCTTAGTGTCTCTTCCACCTACTAAACATGCTATTGGGTGTAAATGGGTCTTCAAGGTGAAAAGAAACTCCGATGGATCTATTGCCTGGTATAAAGCTCGTTTAGTAGCCAAAGGGTACTTACAACAAGAAGGACTGGATTTTCATGACACCTTTAGTCCCGTTGCTAAGCAACCTACTATTCGAATTTTGCTTTGCCTTGCTCTTTCTCATAACTGGTTATGTGTCTGTGGAAGTTGTGGGGGTCAAGGAAAAAAAGGATCTCTGTCATTTCTGATTAAAAAAAATACAAAATAATTGTAATGTGATGAAAATACAAACAATATATTCATTAGATTGTGCAATTAAATCTTATACTTCTATCTTTTGCAATTATTTTAAATTTATATAATTTTTTTTTGTAATTATCCCAAAGGAAAATGGGAGCACCCCCTATGCCCCATATGGTGTTTGAATTTACAACGTCCGCCATGAGGTTTGAGAGTATACCACTCTGCGACACGAGGAGATAGGTCTTTAAAGTTTGTTGTTTGTTCATATAAAAAGAAAATTATTGTTTGGTTGGTTCTGTTTTTATTTTTAAAATTAAAATAATTAAAATTTTGAAAACAACTATGTCTTTAAATAATAATAGTAATAAAAGAGTTGTTTTATGTGTTGTGCTGGTTATTAAATACCATGGTAATTTACCCATTTATGAGTGTCAATTTTACTAATATTAAATCAATTTATTTGTATCATGTGAAGAGAATTGTTCCCAAATATTTATCCATGAGTTATTATAAAACTAAAACAATTATTCTAATAAAAAAAATTATTAGATTAAACATTTATAATTTAATTTCATACCCTTCCCAACAAAATAGTTACAAATGTTAAAATTGATTTTAAGTGATTATCGGCTCTTGAATTTATCAAGAGAAAAGAAAGATAAAAGAAAAATTAATTAATTAAATAAATTTAGATTCTTTCACTGTCTTTTCTTTTTATTTATGTATTTATTTTTTAAGTTCATCTACAAATTCATGATATAACCTTATTAAATTATAAGTTTGAGATATACTTTTTACATCATAGTGGGCTTAAAACCTCAGATAGCAATGAGCTACTAAAAATGTGAGATGCTCATAACTGAAAATAGCATTAGCAGGTTTTTATCTTCTTCTTTAATTGAAAACCTTTGATGTTTCATCCATGAATTTGATCCATTCAAAACTTGTCAGGCACTTAAAATAAAAAATAAAACAAATAATGCAAAGTCATAACATGAACAAATCAAATACACCTGATTTTAGAGGTACCCCAGAATTGATAAACTTTTCAATTCAATCAAAGTATGCTCTCGAGTTACATCTTAAATCAGAGTAAAAATAATGACATATAGGCTTAAAACATGTTCACCAACATGATACAGTCATCAAAGTAATGAAGTCAACCAACATGACAAAAAAATTTAACTCAGTTAACAACATTCTTTGCCTAATACAACAATGATGGACAATTGTGTGCGCGCGCGCAATAGAAAATTTTGAGGATGTATAATAAGTAAACTTGTTTTGGCATTTGTCTAATCATTCACTAGGTGCTACTGCCACTATCTCTTCCAATTTGTGTAGCCATTTCACATACTGACCTATCTCCTTCCGGTGCAGGTGGAGGAGGACGAAGTTGGTAAACATGTCCTCGATTCCCTTGGCCACTAGATAGTTTTTGAGCTCGTCTTGCAAATGTGGGTCCAATGAACTGAAGATAGGATATGAAAGACAATTAGAGAAGTCATTATGCATTTGAAGAAGGTAGGGAAATATAGAAAAAGAAAAATGTTTTAGATCTTAAAATTTCCAAACTTTATTCTAAGCTCAGCAGCGCATACATACGGTCATAGCAAGAGAGGCATGGGTGTAAAAGTATGCATTTTCAATCTGGAAAATCTCATGTAAATAGTTGCAGTGAAGAGAGAAATGAAAATACAAGATCAATACTTCTTTCGTTTTTAACTAGAATTTTGGCATGTCAACACTACATACTAGGAAGCTTATTTTCCACAAACCCTTTTCCATGTAGTAAGATAGGTATTTCTTCAACCAACCACCTCCTCCCCATTCTGTCTCCCACCCAAAAACAAGGCAAACAAAGACACCAAATAATTTTTTTTGGGGTCATATTTCAAACTTTCCAGCCATACCTAGAGGTTATGGGTTCAATGGTAAAATCTTGGCCTAATAACCTTGAGGTTATGGGTTCAAGTCTCAGAACAATCACTTTGTGCACTATGACAAAGGTTAGGTATGTACCAAATCTTCCCTTCCCAATCACACATTAATGTGTACTAATTGGGCGTTATTTATTTATTTTTTTTAACCTTGAACTAGGTACGACAAAAAAAGGAGATTGTGGTAGATCAAGTTAGCATCACCGATGACTTGCTTTTCCACAAAAGACATTCATTAACTAAGTCAAGAATGGCATTCTAAATACACTCCATACATCATGCTCTAATCAGAAAAGAGGCACTGGGGTTGCAACCCTTGTCTAATACTGCAAGATTGCACCAAGGCTCAACAGGTTTGGAAGGATGGACAGTCATATGGTTGGGGATAGGGTTTGTGGCCATTATGTTTTATACTGTGGGTGTGGAGTGTGGCCCAGCTAGATGATGATGCAGATTTGGGCCTTTTTTTTTTATTATTTGTTAGCACATTTGGCTGGCTCAGAACTGACCCACCGGCCCAGCTAGATGATGATGATTTGGGCCTTGTTTTTAAGGGGGCAAACTTCACTTTACCCCCCCTATGATTTGGGTCATGTGCGGATTATCCCATGACGTTCAAATATCACTACAGAACCCCCCTGTGATTAATGGAGTGATGTGCACAGTTAGGTTTTCCATCTATTCTAACAGGGCGTGCATGACACGCGCCTAATATGCAAATGGACATGAAAATATGATCTTTCCTTCGAATTGAATGACTAAAATGCCCTCATCTTCATCATCAATTTCCAAAACATACCCTCATCTTCATCATCAATATCTAGATACTCATTTTCAAAACACAACACGTCTCTCTATCAATTTCACATCTTCTCCCTCCAACTCAAGGCCAAGAACAATGAATAAAAATTATAGTACTTCTGAAAATCAAAAACCCCCAAAAACCCAAAACAAAAACCTAAATTAATTTAAACAACATAATTTCTATAAAAAATTAATGTATATATATAATCTGTAGCTATATGTATAATTTGTGACTTCTATTTCTTCTTTGATTTCTATGTATATATATAATCTTCTTTGATTTTTCTCCAAAAATTTTAATCTTCTTCATATATATATATATGTATATATATTAGAAGGTTATTCAGAGCACAAACCTTCTTCAACATTTTACTCACCCCCATCCCTTAAGGTTCACTATAGAAAAGTGATTGGAAGCTAATTTGACCACAAACCCACCTTAAAAAAAGAAAAAAAAAAAAAAGAGCTTTTTCTTAAAGAACCCAAATCAAAAGAGAATCAAAAACCCATTTCCACAAATTCCAAGACTCCATTTTCTGAATGAACATCATTAAAAATCACAAATTAGAAAATAAATTTCTCAGCCAACCGAATTCGAATCAGCAGGTAAGGTAGACTAGAGAGAAAGGAAAAAAAAAAAATTCTTAAATCTGTAGGTTTTTTTTTTTGGAGCTCATTCTTAAATTGGGTCACAAGTGTTAAATGTAAAACCTCTTAAAGACTCGCTCTCAACCTTTCTGGTATGAACTGAATGATTCATCATTGATTCTGATGTCCACCATTGATTCTTCTCTCTTGCTCTTCTCAAATGCAGACATGTTGAATGAGAAATGTTAAACAAAAGTTATATATACAAGGGCAAATAGTCTTTTTACTTCTGATGTTAACGGTGTTAACTATGCACATCACTCCATTAACCATAGAGGGGTTATGTGGTGATATTCGAACGTTAGAGGGTAATCTGCAAATGGCCCAAACCATAAGGGGTAAAGTGAAGTTTGCCCTTTTCTTAATTATCTGTTAGCACATTTGGCTGGCTCGGAACTGAACTATCTTTGGTAACTCCTCTACCTTTCCCTCAACCATAGTTGAAAGAGCATCTGACTGAGGAACATATGGAATGCATAACTGTGCAACAGAGGGTACGGGCGCCGATGGCCACAGCCTGTAATTGTCTTTGGTATGATCCTCCTTTGGGTGTGTATAAATTAAACTTTGATGGGGCAAATATTTTGCAACACAAAAAACAGGGGATTGGGGGAGATTGCAAGGGATTGTCAAGGTCATGTCATTGGTGCTTTGTCGGAGTGGCTTGATGGATCGATTGAGGTAGACTGTGTTGAGGCTCTGCGGCTGTTAGAGCTGTGCGTTTTGCCACGGAGTTGGGATTACATAAGATCCAGTTTGGAAGGGGATTCACTAGGCGTTATTACTGAAATACAGAAAGAGGTGGCTTCTCTCTCAGCAACTGGGCATATTCCACAAGGGATAGTTGAGATTGGGCACTTCTTTAGACAATTAGATGTGATGCATGTTGGCTGGGATGTGAATAACATTGCTAACCATTTAGCATAGTTGGTGTCTGTAGATCAAGCGTTGGAGGCATGGATGAAGAAGGCCCCAGCCTCCCTTTCTGCTCTTGTTTCAGCTGATGCCCACGTGGGGTATCATGTCCAGCTTGGGTATTCCACTATCTTAAAAATATATACATATATGTATATATTCAAATGTCTCTGCAAAATCCAAAAAATTTGGTTCAAAAGCAAATTAACCATCTCCAAAAAACAACTATATAAAAAAGAGAACCCTTTATTGTCAAAATAGATTATTCTTTGTCCTCTGATTCCTTTTGTCCCAAACTATCTTCATCAACGCCAATGGGACCAAATACCAAGTCTTCCTCCTCACACAAGCTCCTCTCCATGAATAAAGCAGCTCTCCCACCTTCCTAGGGAACACCTAAACCACACTAAACATAACAAGAATCAAAGACCACAACTACCGTGCCACCTCGTAATGAATAAGAATATGACTCACAATTTTCTCATTATGCTAACATATGCAACACTTTTGCCTCTTTTTAATCAAGTTATCAATAGTAACAATCTTTCCATGCATAGCACACCAAATAAATAAGGCCACCTTAGATGGGACTTTGTACTCACAAGCCCCTTTTCAAGGGAAGGGAGACACCCTGAATTCCATAAGAATTGTCATAATAAGACTTTACACTAAATTGACTAGAGGCGGATCTCAACCATCGTACCTAATCATACTCACCCACCTACGCCTCTCTATCATGAGCGATCTGAGCAAAATTTGGAAAAGCCTCTACCAAACTATCGTCAGAATCTTAGTTGCAGGAATCGTGCAACCAGGTGGCGATTCTGAGTAAGAATCGCGATTCCGCGTTTCCTAGAAAGAAATGTGTAAGAATCGCGTTTCTGTGGAGAGAGAAATGCGATTCAGTCAAAGATGGGATCGTAAAGGAAAGAGAGAGAGAGAAACCTGGTCTCACCGTCGATATGTTACATGGATTCGTTGGTTTAGGGCATGGGTTTCTCGGACACGACTTTGATCTGTTACATAGCCTTCGATCTCTATTACATCGCCTTCGATCTGCTCACGATCTCCTCTTCATTCTCTTTCTTCATCTCTCTCGATCTCCTCTTTTGTCTCTCTATCTTCTCTTCTTCAGCATCTCCTCGTCATCGTCTTCTTCTTCTTCTTCTTCGTCATCATCATCTTCGTCTTCTTCTTCTTCTCTCTCTCTCTTTCGTCGATTTGTGTCCCCCTTTCATTTTTAACATTTAATGAATATAATAAATAATATAATTTGTTATATAATAAATCTAATTAAATCATATATAATAAAAAAAATTAATAAAATTTATAAAATAAATCATCTAATTTTTTATTATTTATTTTAACATATTTTATTATTCCTTATTTGTTATATTTTTTTATTTATAATATATATATATATATATATCAATTAAAAATAAAAATTAATTATATAAATAAATTAAAAATATTATCAATAAAAATAATACCTAAGATAAAAATAATAAATATATTTAAAAATAACTATTTAACTTATCTTTATATAATAGATATATTTAAAAAATAACTATTAATATATATATATATATATATTACCGCTCCCCAAGGCGCTCCCAACCTAAGAAACTTCTATCGGCTCACACTTCCCCGCTCCCGCTCCCGCTTCGTGCAACTAAGTGCCGACTTATGATTGTAATAGTTATTTTGTTCTAGTCACTTGTAATTCCAACTCAGCGTGTTTTTGTCTCTTTTCCTTCTTTTCTCCCTGTAGGCTTACATTCCATTACCCTTTTCCAATACCTCACCCTTTCATAGGCGAACCTCTAAAATAAAACACACCCAAAATAATTTAAATAAAAAAATAAATAAAGGAAAAGAAAGATAAGGATAATGGAAGGACACAAAAACCCAAAATAATTTAAATAAAAAAATAAATAAAGGAAAAGAAAGATAAGGATAATGGAAGGACACAAAAAATAAAATCTTGTTATTCATCAATTTCCTAGTCACACCCCATAGGAATATGAGAGATGAAGGATGTAAGTGGAGAGTATATAACCCCAAGGGGTTGGCCTAGTGGGTGCGACTTGGGACTTAAGGGTGTATTCCCTCTAGGTCTCAGCTTCAACTCCCATTAGGAGCAATCTACTCCTTAGGGCTATACCTGCGGACCTTGCCCGAGATTTGCCCAAGTCACATGGAGGGGGGCTTTGTGTGGGTCCCGAAATTAGTTAAGGTGCACATAAATTGGCCTGGACAACAACTCACATTAGGAGCAATCTACTCCTTGGGGCTATGCCCATGGACTTTGCCCAAGATTTGCCCAAATCACATGAAGGGGGGCTCTGCGTGGGTCCCGAAATTAGTTAAGGGGCACATAAATTGGCCTGGACAACCGGTCATCAAAAAAATAAAAAGTGGTAGAGTATAAAGTATTTCAAATGAAAACTAATTCGTCAAAGCCTAGTTAGTAAATAATCATATAATTGACTATAAAAGTATCAAACATGAATTATACGTGAAAGGTAACAAATTACAAAATTTTATTCTTCATTTATTTATTTTTGATAAATACAAAAAAATAAATAAATAAGTAAAATAATCTTTATAATAAAAGTGAAAAGTGTCAAGATATCGAAACCCTCAGCTTTAAGTGCCAAAATTGCCTAAACCAACTAATAACTCTCACTATTACTAGCAAATTATCCACTAGCAACTCTTTCTTGCTCCATCATTAGGGCTGCAAACGAACCGAGGAAAAGTGCCACACAATCATCATATTTGAATGACTTTTACCAACGCAAGGTAAATTGCCGACGATGGATGAAGGCTTTTATCGACGACTATGTTCGTCGTTAAAGGCATTACTTTTACCAACGCAATGATAATTTCGCCGGCAAAAACTTTTGCTGACACACTTTTGCCTATGGGTTGCCAACGTAGCTTTGTGTGTCGGCAAAAACTCTTTGCCGACGAATTTTTCCTTTTAGCAACATATTTTGTTGCGTTGCGAAAAATGCAATTTCTTGTAGTGTGTATTTATACTCTTATTTATATATAATTATATATTATTTAATATATAAATAATATATTTATTATATGATCTAAATAAAGATAAATGAGTCGAACTTGACGAGCAGAGCTTATGCGAGCTCGAACTCGGCTCGTTTACAAAACGAGCCTAATATTCGAGCTCGAGCTTGGCTCGTTTAGTAAACGAGCCGAGCCGAGCTGAGTCGAGCTTGTTCATGAACAGCTCGGTTCATTTGCAGCCCTATCCATCATCAACCTAGACTTGTCCCCCTGCCCCCTCTCCCTTATCTTTCTTGTATGAATATAACAACCCACTTTGCTCAAAGTTTGATGAATTACCAAAAACAAATAAATAAATAAAAAAGAAAGAAGGATACACAATGACCATTTAGTAATGATATCCAAAGAACATAAAAGTTACTTTGCCCAAAATATGTAATACTTCTAGGCTAAGAAACATGGAATATGACACAACACGGGCACATAAATTTTAAAAAATATCGGACACGATATCGGGAAAACGTGCAAAGCATATACTTTTGTATAATTATTATATATCATATTTTTCAAGTAGTATATATTTATTCTTTGTCAAATAGTTATTCTCATCAAATTCATCAATCTTGGTATGCTATTCCGGTGGAAAAAAATGAATCCCAAACTTGTCCCCGCGTGTCTGAAGTGTCCCCAACATATCTGACTCATTCCAATGTGTCTCAGTGTGTCCGTGCTTCATAGCTAATACAACTTACACAAGAGGCATACCCCTACCAAACAACAACTAAAATCCTAAAATAGGTAGATAAAAGCAACCTAAACAAACCAACCAAACTACACAACACCAACTGACCTCAACAAACCAGACCATTTGTTATTTTATGGCCTATCAAAATCCTAGTGGATACATTCCAGGTTAAACAAGTCAACCAATTCTCATATGTATTCTTAACCAGCTTCCTTGAACTTAGACAATCTCTGATATCTTTTTCAGGAGCTAGAAACACTGTCCCAGGATCTCGGATCCCTGCCCTAAAAATCCCGGCATTTCTGTCAGTCTAGACATGATAAATAGTAGCAACCCAGTTTATACACATCAGTGCAAAAAGATTTCATAGTCAAATGTTGCACAACCCATCCAAATTCAAGATCCCAAGGCCCAGGGCTTCTTTTTATTCGGAATTTATCAAGCATTCTAGCCCATATCAGTCTAGAATACTCATTCAAGAAACAGATGTTGATGGCTTTCCAGACACTGCTGACACAAGACACATATAGGATCAACATGCAAACCCCATTCTAGCAATCGATCTTTAGTTGCTAACCTCCCCCAACAAGCCAACCATTGAATAAAAGCACTTCTGGGAACATGCTTTTTAAACCAAACAATATCATGCCAAGAAACAGAATCCTGTACCTCTCTAATAGCATTCCATGTAGACCTGATTAAAGAAACACCATTAGTAGCAGGAACCCAGGTCACAGAATCTTCAGCAAGAACATTAGGCTTCAAACACTAAGGAGTATGAGCTATAACAAACTGAATTGCTCTGTTTCTGATCTTAGGCCAATTCCAAGTGCCATTACACATAATAGAGTCCACTTTTGCCAATAAAGCACCACCCACATTCCTAACTATCTGATCCCCAAAACGCTGATATAAGGGCCCCCCTTGGATATCAATTGTCCAGCCAAAGAAAGGCATCAGCACCATTCCCAACTATACATTTAATCAAAGGCCACCCCAAGATCCTTTAGTTGAATAATTTCCTTAAGAGTCCATGAGGAATCTTCCTTCATAGCTTTTAGGTGCTTTAACAAAGCAATCTTTGGATTAGATTGTATTCAATTAATTTATCTTTTATGTTTCCTATATTTTCTAATATTTTTGCATTTTTTATTAGTATGCTGTCCAGAATATACAAAGAATTTACAATGTGACTAAATAGATATGACTGCAATTGTTACTTGTTAATGTAAGATATTATATATTTATATGGCTACATTTTCATCGCTTATTTTTCACACAAAAAAAATATTGTACTTGTAGTACATATGTGTATTCGAACTTTGACGTTCACATTATTTTAAGGCATTTTTCATCTTTTTTCTTTTCTTTTCTTTTTTTGAAGGAGAATTTGTATAATAGCTATACCAGTGTTATTAAAGGCAATAGGCATACCAAGGCGCCAAGGTCTCTTGGGGCCTAGGTTCAAGGCGCAAGGCGTGGCGCAGGCTTCACCGAAGTAAGGCGCACCTTGTACGGGGAAAAAAAAAAAATTAATTTAATATAAATAAATAATTTAGGGTTCAACATAAACAAAATAAAATATTAAATATTTAGGGTATGTTTGGTTTGGTTTTGAGAGAATAGTTTTTAAAAATTGTTTTGAGGAGAGAGTTTAGAAATTTTTTTGATTTATTTGGTTGTGTATTTTGAAAGTAGTTTTGAAATTTGGGAATTTGGAATGATTTGATATTTTGTTGTAATTGAGTAGATGTGTGTGAGAGAAAAAGTGATTGAGAAAGAGAGAGGAGAGATAAAAAGTGATTGATTGATTGATGTATAAGAGATAGAGTGATTTTGGAAATTGTTTTGGAAAAATTACAAACCAAACAAGTTTTTTAGAAAAAAATTTTCAAAATCACTCTACAAAGCCAAACCAAACATACCCTTAGTGTTTTTCGAAAATTAGGAATTAGGGCTAATATTTCTTTTATCATTGATTTGGGGTTGAATGCCCAATGTATTGGCATTTGTAATAAGAGTAGGGATCTTCGGACCATATTAAATCAATGGTTAGATTTTAAACAAAATTAATTAAAGCAACAATAAAAAAAGCCCTCAAGACGCAAGCCTTAGGTCTTATTGTGCCTTGAACCAGTCAAGCGCCTAGAACATTGCAAGGCTCAAACCTTGGGCCTAGATGGGACTTGGGCATAGGAGCACGCCTATGCGTGCCTTATCAAAATCGATTGGCCTGGAATACTATGAGGCGCAAACCTTGGGCCTGGATGGGACTTAGGCCTAGGTGCACGTCTAGGCGCACCTTTAATAACACTGAGCTATACCATATAAAGTATCATATTGTTGATGTACCATATTTTGCTATGCATCAATGTTTCAACAGCAGGCTACTTCTCCATGAGCAAAGATGTTTTGCAACTCTCAAGAACCAGAACCCAAATCCATATAGATTTACAGCTTGTTCTCTTCAAAAAAGCCAATACAGTTTTTCTCAGACTAATTGACCGTACATTATATGAACCAGATTTTTCATGTGTCTTTAACTAATAGTATGTATGATTAAAACAAAACTCACAGAGCCAAATTTTTTTGTTTTTTGTTTTTAACAAGGATGGTTTGAAGGTAAGTGGTTATCGAATTCCAATTTCAGTTGTGTAAAGCAAATGAGAGGGAGGACTATCGTATTTCAAAAAGGTAAGGTAATGCATGCACCTTGTGGTCAAAAGGAGCAACAAGATGCTTCTTCCCTAAACTCATCAGAAGCCTGCATCTTGGGTCGTTAAATGTCAATTATCATCTGCAACAAGCGGCTATATTCCCACTGCATGATTCTATAAAATAATAAAGTGATATCCAACTGACAAGGATAAAACCCTCAATAAACACAAAACAAGACACCAATGGGCCTAATAGGGGCCAATCTGGAACAAAAAAATGAACCTTCATGGATACAAGGGTGGTCATAGATAAGGCCTAAAACAAAGAGATCATAATACTAAACCTCTAATAAAAATAAGCTAATACTAGGCAACTTGCCAGAAATGTGATTGATTAGGGTAGAAACAAGAAGAATAATAAACCATATGTTCGTTTGGAAGGATAACCAACTTTATTTGTGTTTTAGGCTTCATTCGCATTTCCTAAATGCTCACTGTTCAGCCTATAGTATTTCCAATTCTGGAGCAAATTAGTATAATAAGTGAATGTCTCTAGAGTGGTTGTCTACATATTTCATTACGCCAACAAAAGATATCAACACCACCACTTAAAGAACACTAAAATTTTATACCTGAATGAGGGGCCCTTGTAGATTGAAGAGTCCAAACAAGTTGATGATGGGATATAATAGGCATTGTGGATAGCAAACTCAGAGCCACCGTCACCTTTACCAAATGCACCACAATCAAATTGTAAGATGGAACTCAATCCAGGCTTTTTTACGCATACCTTCATTAAAGCTTCCCTAGGAAAGCTACTCTGTCCTTCATAGGTTTCAGGACCCAACAAAGCTGAAACAGCAACCTCCTCACCTGACTCACATTTCTTCCGCAAAACCACATCTTGGGACTGCGGTGAATCCCAATCCAACACAAAATCTCCCAAAGAACCACTTTGATTATCCTGAATTCATGCCAGCAGTTTCTTAACTTTAACAAACCTTAATCGTCATTCTATGGTAAGTGCAATTGCACATAAAAAATTTCTAATTTTAATGCTAAGAACTGCGTACAAAATAGGGCTAATTGCTTTCAGTGGGACAGTCAAAGAATAAATGCAGTATTACAAATAGAATCTTTCTTTGTGCAAGTCTACCATACGAGAAAGACTTGCGCATGCACAGAAAAATACTTGCACCATACACAGGAAAGACTTGTTCCTCATGAAAATGAAAATATTTTTCCAATGTCCCACTTATTTGAGATTTCCCCTAAAAAATAAGATATTTCCAAATTTTTTTCTTTTCAAACACTTCATTCGTCCCAAGGCATGTTTCTATCATATTCATTTTATTCACCTCAAATTATCAGAATTATTTAGTAAAAATTGAATGGAACCCATGTTAGGTTTTATGTCTGCCGAAACCCAAATGAGTAATTATGGCAAATATAATCAATTATATATATATATATAAATCTTCTAAATACAAAATTCCCTCAGCTTTAGGTATCATATATACATAGCTAAAAATCCCCTTTTATATTTAGCTAAAACATATAAGAAATAGTGTTCTTTACAATCAAACAAACCACAATCACCAGGTTGAAAGCAGTAAATTTGATAAATTTTAGCATTCTGAATCATTCTGCCAAAAATGTAAGCCCAATTGACACTTGTGCACTACCTATTCCTCTTTCCTGGGCAACATATTTACTAATTTAACATGTTCAGCACTAGAAATAGGTGCAAATGAAAGCTGTGATGCATGGTTAGCAATCAAGTACAGCAAAGCAAGTGATTGAATCAAAGATTAAGAATGTTTGAATGTAGAGAGAGAGAGAGAGAGAGAGAGAGAAGAAAAGAGTACCTGGAAGTGATTAGAGGATTGTTCGTGTCTGATCTCGGATTGCAAGGCTTTAAGAAGATCGAAATCGTGAATAGCTTTGTAGCCCTTCCGCAGTAGAGTGGTTACCCTTGGCATTCTTTTCTTCTCGTCGTATGACGGGCCGTCTCTTGCCTATTATGTGTTGGTCAAGCCCGATGGCTCGTTTATTTTACTCTTGTAAAATACGCTAATCCCTTTAATTGGGGGCCCCCCCGTAAGGTATGGTTTATTTTCGTTTATTTCAACTTTTAATTTAATTTAAATTATTTTGATGTGTTTGGTTTAGTTTAATAATATGATTTATAATTTTTTGTAAATTAAAAATCAACTTATTTTTTGAGTGGGGGACGAGAAGTTTAATTTATAAGTCAAAAATCAGCTTATGTTTATAGTTATAAACTATAAATTGTTAAGTTATAAGTTATAATCACTTTCCCACAACTCTACCAAACGGGGCCTTTAACCTATATAGGTACCACTTGGGGTGGTGGTGCGTACGATTGTACAAAATATCGTTTAATTTATTAAAATTATAATGACTTATATTGATTGATATCGCTTTATCTGTCAATCATAATTTAAATTTTAAAATTTATAATTTATCGTGAAAACTACTCCGCTCCGCTATGATTAATATATATTTTTTAATTTATAATGAAATATCAAAATAAAAATGAATATAAGAAAGATTTAAGATATGAAATTTATTATAAATTAATAGTTATTTATATAAAAAATATTATGTAAAATTAGTTTGTATTATATATATAAAAAATAGTATGCAAATTAGTATATATTATGCAAAAACTTGATAATTGATTATAATTGTGATATGTTGTTTTGGGTGACCACTCAAGCGGTCATTCGGTCGCTCGAGCGTAGATGCATAGCTCCCGGTATCTTGTTTGTTTGCAGGCAAGATCGCTCAAGCGATGAAGTGGTCACTCGAGCGTAAAATTCAGGCTCCCAGTATTTTCACTGTAACTCTGTAAAACTTCTAGAACCTGACGTTTATTGTTCAAGCGCTAAAAAGTTTGCTCGAGCGGTCAGGTCAGGACAGCTCATTTAAAAGTTGATCAAATACTTTTTTTGTCACTTTTTCCAACTCTTCTCTCTCTCTCTAACACTCATTTCCAAACCCTAACCCTAAAAACACTTGATTTTCCTCAAGTTTTGCTAAAGATTCACCTCAAATCCTTCAAGAAAAATGAAGAGCAAGTTTGATTCAAGATTCTCACCGATTGGATCGTGTTTTGGTCAAATTCTTGTCGGGTTTTCATCTCTTAGCTACCATTTCGAGGTAGGGGTACTTTTAATTTGTTATATTCTTTATTTGAAATATATAAGTGGTAATTTCTTAGCTATAATAATGTATGAGATGCTTTTGTTAAATAAAGTGAATTGTTTAATTAATGGGAGTTTGTATCTAATGATTTTAAGAAAAATTGTAAAAATTTCTTGTTGATTCTTTATGTGGAGGATGAATGTTGACTTTTGTAGATACCCCATTTTTTACCGCCCTTAAGACTTGGGGGCCTTAGGTTGATTGTTCGATGATGAAGGCAGGACGAACGCTATGCTATGCAAAGGTTTGATTTCTTCGGCAAGAGGAGCTTCAAATCCCAACCTCACACCTCTCTTTTGGACCAAAACTATTTTGACAAAATGATTTTAGACCTTAAAACCCTCTCTTTCAAAATATTTTTGAAAAAAGTTTCGACGATGTTCTGAGACTCGCATTTCGTTAAATGTTGCGCTTTTCATTAAACTGAGCAAGGACAAAGTGGAAATAAATGAAAGAGATGTGAACTCTTTGAAAAATATTTCAAAACACCTTATTTATAGGTTTGGGGTTGAAGAAAAGAGGAGAGGAGGGAATAAAACTAGCTGAGGAGGAGTTAGACATGAATCCGGTTAGAATCGAAATTGAACAGTTTTCACTAAAATAAGCATATCTTCTTTCACACTTGGAATTTTGATGTGAGGATGCCACTATTGGAAAGAAGACTTTCGGGGCTTCAATTTAGGCTCAAGAATGACCTGCAAAGGAATCCAGATAAAGGAGATATGCCTATTTGAAATTGGGCTCAAAAAGCAGATTTTTCTGGCCAGCCAGAGGTGGAGGTTGCTGGCCATGGATGGGCTTTGCTGGCCATGTGCTGTCTAGGGGTGGATTTTTCCAACCACAAATGAACCTTGCCGGCCATCAATGATGCCTTGTCGGCCATTGATGTCAAAAGTCAGATTTTCTACAAATATTTGTCCTCTAACTGTTTTCACACTGCTCCAGCTGTCCTATATAGATATTTTCAACCTAAAGTCATATATTTCTATATATAGAGGCCATTCTTTATTGTTTTGAAGGTTGGAAAAATTTTGGGAGTCTCTCTCTCTACAATTCTCTCTCTAGATTTCTCTCTATCTCTTGAACTTTTATGTATACAAGGGTAGATACACTTCAAGTTTGCCTATCAACCCTTAACCAAGTTGTTCATCTTTGGGCTGAGATTGCTTGAAGCTCTCTTGGAACTCCTTAAGGTGGTTTTGACTTGTATTTGTGCCTAAAAGTGTCCTTGCCTTCAAGAGGTATAACCTTTACCCTTTAAGCTTGTTTTTGCCATCTTTTTGTACTGTTTTTGGGGTGGTTTTGAACTGTAAAAATCTTTGTTTTTGTGGGTTAAAAATGTTGGTTTAAGGCCATTTCAAGTTAAGGGGTGGCTCACCCTTCTCGCTCCTTTGTTGTTAAAGCTTTTGTGCTCTTTTTCATCACTTTCAAACCAACTTTTTTGGGCCTTTTAACTACTGAAATTCAGAGGTTTTTCAATGGCAAAAACCTCATTTTGAAGTCCAAAATTGGAAAGGTTAACCTTCCATCCTTATGTCTTGTTTGCATGCCTAGTTAGCTTCACATGTTAGCATGTTTTTCTAGCTTAACTTAGCTCAAGTCCAGCATGTCTTAGACTCTGAAATAACCTGTTTTAGCTCTGTTTTGGGCTGATTAGTTTGTTTGAGTCTTGTTTTGCATAGTTGTAGTGTAACCCCCTGTTTTAGCTTATTGTTTTAGCTACTATTATCTTCATTCCAACATGTTTTCCAACTGATTTTGGACTGTAAAAACTCTGTGTTTTTGGGTTAAAGTTTGGGTCTTAAGGCCATTAAAGGTTGAGGGGTTAATAGCCCTTTTTTTGTACCTTGTTATGGAGACCTTTGCCTTTATATTTCCCACCCTTGCATCATCTTTTTCAGAGCTTTTAAACACTGATTTTTAGAGCTATTTTAGTGGCTAAAATCATGTTTTGAAGTTAAAAAATGGAGGGGGTAGCCTCCCCTCCATGTGTTTTGTTTACTAGCTTAACATGCTCCATGTTTTAGTTTATTTTTCTAGCTTTTGTTAGGTTAATTCCAGCATGCTTTTATTTAGGGCTATTTTGTCTCTGTTTTTGGTCATTTGTTTCATTTGAGCCTTGCACGACATGGTTGTAGTGTTAATTCCTTCACTAGCTTAGTGTTTTAAGGTTTAACTAGCATTGGTGTGAGTTGGTTGCATGTTTTTAGTGCTTTTATCACTCATTTTTAGCATATACAATCTCTGCAACCTCCCTCATTTCTTCACTTTTTCATTTGTTTTGTGGGTTGTTTTAACCTAGGGTTGTTTAAAGCTTGAGGTTGAGGCTCATGCTTAATGGTTTAATCCTCTTTTGAGGGTTCATGACCAATGGCATGAAGCTTCCCTCATGCCTTGAACTACCCCTTGGTTGACACTTCTTTCGCTTTAGAAGACACTCACCAATGGACAAATCAATTAAAGAATGGTTTTGGTAATTAAAATGAGTAAACAAAATTGGACAAGTAAAAGAGGCAAGATAAGCATCTTTGTGTTGCATTGCATGTGTTCAAATCGGACTTTAATTTGAACACAAGGCAAATTAGACATTTCATACTCAATAATGATGAAATGTGTCATTTTCCTAGGTCTCCATTGCCCTTAATCATGCATGATAGGGTAATGGTCTTGTTTGTCATATTTGTGCATTTATCGAAATTGTACAACTTGGATCTTTGGCCATCATGCAATGAAATTGCTTGATTGGTGGTTTTGGATCCAAGTGTGTCACTCATTTGAGGTTTTGAAGTGATAAGGAGGGGGACACTACAAACAAACCCTTGGAAAAACCTTCATTTTGCTCTGTTTGTGCTCTGTTGTAGTATGGTGACTCAGAGCATCAGTGGCTAGCAGTGCCCCATCCATGGCTAGCAGTGCCTCATTTCTGGCTGACAAGATACCTTTTTGGCCGGCAGAGGACCGGTAGCAACCTTCCATGGCCGGCAGGCTACTGATGCAATCCTTAGCAGAGATTTGGTAAGTTGGAGCAGAAAGATTCTGAAGTGTGCTCTACCCTACAAACAGAGCCTCTCAAGAGCATAACAAAGGTCTTTTCGGGGAGAAAACCGAGCGCATGCATCTTCCACTTCCCGAGACAGAGTAGTGGTAGTATAGTATAATGCCTTGCATGATTAATTAAAGTGTGCATTTGTTTTAATTAATTAGTTGCTAGTTGATTAAAGTGTTGTAATAATTAGTAATTAGTTTGCTAGTTATTCATTTGATTTGTAATAATTAGTCTAATCAGCTTAGCGTGGCTATTTAGCTTTTATTCATTTGGACTCTCCTTTGCGAGGGCGTAATGTTGTAATAAGTATGCGTGCGTGTGTGTATGTCTTCCAACCCCGCGTCTTTCTCCATTTTATTTAATCGCTTTTGATGGTTAGATTAGGGACATTTTCGATTAGCATACCTTATGCTCGCATGTTTGCATCCATTCATTTGTTTTGCATGCACCGAGGCTCAGCGCATCATTCAAACTACATTGTCAATTCAATACTTCTTTGAATACGTGTTTCAAAGCATGCCATTAAAGTGTTGCAAATACCATGATTAAGTATCCAAGCCTATTTAGTTGCATCAGTGTATGTGTTGCATTAGGCATCTTGTATAGTTAAGATCATGCATCTTTCTAACTAGTTTCTGTTTTGGCTTGGAGTACTCGGTGAGTCTTTATGCTTTTGCATACTTACATGCGTGTGATTGCCATGATTAGCATGCTTGCCATAAGGCTATATGCTTAAATGCTAGACTGCATGAATACCTATGGATGAAGGCTTGTTGTTTGAATTGGAACGA